AATTCTTAATCAATATTTTTCCAACTAAGAAGACAAAAGAACTGAGGAGTCAGATTCTTGGGTTTCAACAACGAGATGGTGAGACTCTTCGTCAAGCTTGGAAACAATACAAGAAACTCCTACGAGACTGTCCACATCATTGTCAGATAGATGAGGTACTATGACATACGTTTGTAGATGGGTTGGATGAGACCTCCAAATTGAATCTAGACTCAGCTTGTGGAGTAAGTTGCACACAAAAGCCATATAGTGAGATTCAGACTTTGCTCAACAATTTCACTGCAAATGATCATAGTTGGGATGGTAAGGGTGAACCAAGAAGGATGATAAAACAGAACGCATCAGGTACACTTGAGCTAGCCATAGATGAGATGTTAGCCATGTGGGCAGAAATATCTAAACTTGCAAACCAAATGGTAAAGATGGAAATGGGTCAAGGGCATCAAATGCAGCAGGTTCAAAGGATAGCCATATGTTATGAAATTTATGGAGAATGTCACACAAATGACCAATGCCCGGTTAATCCAGAATCTATTTATACTGTGAGCTAGCAGAGTAGAGGTCCAATGAACCAAAATACACAATACGAGAACACATATAATCCCAACTGGAGGGATCACTCGAATTTCTCATGGGGTGGAAACCAGGACACTCAAAATCAGTACACGCCTCAAGGGAACTACAATCAGCCCCAAAGGCCACCACAGCAAGTAGAAGAAAGCACCAATGATATATTATAAAGCTTTTAATTGACAACCAGCAACTTTAGACATACAACTAGCAGTTGAGGACTGATTGGGTACTTAGCTGCATAAACAAATACCCGACCTACTGGAGCACAACTATTCGAACGTCTCTAAGGACTATGTTAGACTAACTTTATTTTCCTTTTCTCTAATGAGGGAAGCAAAGAAGTGGTTAAACAAAGAGCCCGCAAACTCAATCCACACTTGGGATGATCTAGAACGAAAATTCTTAATCAATTTTTTTCCAACTAAGAAGACAAAGGAACTGAGGAGTCAGATTCTTGGGTTTCAATAACAAGATGGTGAGACTCTTCGTCAAGCTTGGAAACAATACAAGAAACTCCTCGGAGACTGTACACATCATTGTCAGATAGATGAGGTACTAGGATATATGTTTGTAGATGGGTTGGACGAGACCTCCAAATTGAATCTAGACTCAGCTTGTGGAGGAAGTTGCACGCAAAAGCCATATAGTGAGATTCAGACTTTGCTCAACAATTTCACTGCAAATGATCATAGTTGGGATGGTAAGGGTGAACCAAGAAGGATGATAAAACAGAACGCATCAGGTACACTTGTGCTAGCCATAGATGAGATGTTAGCCATGTGGGCAGAAATATCTAAACATGCCCACCAAATGGTAAAGATGGCAATGGGTCAAGGGCATCAAATGCAGCAGGTTCAGAGGATAGCCATATGTTATGAAATTTATGGAGAAGGTCACAAAAGTGACCAATGCCCGGTGAATCCAGAATCTATTTATACTGTGAGCCAGCACAGTAGAGGTCCAATGTACCAAAATGCACAATACGGGAACACATAAAATCCCAACTGGAGGGATCACCCGAATTTCTCATGGGGTGGAAACCAGGACACTCAAAATCAGTACACGCCTCAAGGGAACTACAATCAGCCCCAAAGGCCACCACAATAGGTAGAAGAAAGCACCAATGATATATTATAAAGCTTTTAATTGACAACCAGTAACTTTTGACATACAACTAGCAGTTGAGGACTGATTGGGCACTTAGCTGCACAAAACAATACCCGACCTACTAGAGCACAACTATTCGAACGTCTCTAAGGACTATGTCACACTAACTTTATTTTCCTTTTCTCTAATGGGGGAAGTAAAGAACTGGTTAAACAAAGAGCTCGCAAACTCAATCCATACTTGTTATGATATAGAACGAAAATTCTTAATCAATGTTTTTCCCACTAAGAAGACAAAGGAACTGAGGAGTCAGATTCTTGGGTTTCAACAACGAGATGGTGAGACTCTTCGTCAAGCTTGGAAATAAGACAAGGAACTCTTCGGAGACTGTCTACATCTTTGTCAGATAGATGAGGTACTAGGACATACGTTTGTAGATGGGTTGGACGAGACCTCCGAATTGAATCTAGACTCAGCTTGTGGAGGAAGTTGCACGCAAAGGCCATATAGTGAGATTCAGACTTTGCTCGACCATTTCGCTACAAATGATCATAGTTGGGATGGTAAGGGTGAACCAAGAAGGATGATAAAACAGAACGCATCAGGTATACTTGAGCTAGCCATAAATGAGATGGTAGCCATGCGGGCAGAAATATCTAAACTTGCCAACCAAATGGTAATGATGGCAATGGGTCAAGGGCATCAAATGCAGCAGATTCAGAGGATAGCCATATAATTTGAAATTTATGGAGAAGGTCACACAAGTGACCAATGCCCGGTGAATCCAGAATCTATTTATATTGTGAGCCAGCAGAGTAGAGGTCCAATGTACCAAAATGCACAATACGGGAACACATATAATCCCAACTGGAGGGATCACCCGAATTTCTCATGGGGTGGAAACCAGGCCACTCAAAATTAGTGCACGCCTCAAGGGATTTACAATCAGCCCCGAAGGCCACCACAACAGGTAGAAGAAATCACCAATGATATATTATAAAGCTTTAATTGACAACCAGCAACTTTGAACATACAACTAGCAGTTGAGGACTGATTGGGCACTTAGCTGCACAAAACAATACCCGACCTACTGGAGCACAACTATTCGAACGTCTCTAAGGACTATGTCACACTAACTTTATTTTCCTTTTCTCTAATGGGGGAAGCAAAGAACTGGTTAAACAAAGAGCTCGCAAACTCAATCCACACTTGGTATGATCTAGAACAAAAATTCTTAATCAATGTTTTTTCCACTAAGAAGACAAAGGAACTGAGGAGTCAGATTCTTGGGTTTCAACAACGAGATGGTGAGACTCTTCGTCAAGCTTGGAAATAAGACAAGGAACTCCTCGGAGAATGTCCACATCTTTGTCAAATAGATGAGGTACTAGGACATACGTTTGTAGATGGGTTGGACGAGAACTCCGAATTTAATCTAGACTCAGCTTGTGGAGGAAGTTGCACGCAAAAGCCATATAGTGAGATTCAGACTTTGCTCAACCATTTCGCTACAAATGATCATAGTTGGGATGGTAAGGATGAACCAAGAAAGATGATAAAACAGAACTCATCAGGTACACTTGAGCTAGCCATAGATGAGATGTTAGCCATGCGGGCAGAAATATCTAAACTTGGCAACCAAATGGTAAAGATGGCAATGGGTCAAGGGCATCAAATGCAGCAGGTTCACAGGATAGCCATATGTTTTGAAATTTGTGGAGAAGGTCACACAAGTGACCAATGCCCGGTGAATCCAGAATCTATTTATATTGTGAGCCAGCAGAGTAGAGGTCCAATGTACCAAAATGCACAATACGGGAACATATATAAGCCCAACTGGAGGGATCACCCGAATTTCTCATGGGGTGGAAACCAGGCCACTCAAAATCAGTACACGCCTCAAGGGAACTACAATCAGCCCCAAAGGCCACAACAACAGGTAGAAGAAAGCACGAATGATATATTATAAAGCTTTTAATTGACAACCAGCAACTTTGAACATACAACTAGCAGTTGAGGACTGATTGGGCATTTAGCTGCACAAAACAATACCCGACCTACTGGAGCACAACTATTCGAACGTCTCTAAGGACTATGTCACACTAACTTTATTTTCCTTTTCTCTAACGGGGGAAGCAAAGAACTAGTTAAACAAATAGCTCGCAAACTCAATCCACACTTGGTATGATCTAGAAAGAAAATTCTTAATCAATGTTTTTCCCACTAAGAAGACAAAGGAACTGAGGAGTCTGATTCTTGGGTTTCAACAACGAGATGGTGAGACTCTTCGTCAAGCTTGGAAATAAGACAAGGTACTCCTCGGAGACTGTCCACATCTTTGTCAGATAGATGAGGTACTAGGACATACGTTTGTAGATGGGTTGGACGAGACCTCCGAATTGAATCTAGACTCAGCTTGTGGAGGAAGTTGCACGCAAAAGCCATATAGTGAGATTCAGAATTTGCTCAACCATTTCGCTGCAAATGATCATATTTGGGATGGTAAGGGTGAACCAAGAAGGATGATAAAACATAATGCATCAGGTACACTTAAGCTAGCCATAGATGAGATGTTACCCATGCGGGCAGAAATATCTAAACTTGCCAACCAAATGGTAAAGATGGCAATGGGTCAAGGGCATCAAATGCAGCAGGTTCAGAGGATAGCCATATATTTTGAAATTTATGGAGAAGGTCATACAAGTGAATACTGCCCGGTGAATCCAGAATCTATTTATACTGTGAGCCAGCAGAGTAGAGGTCCAATGTACCAAAATGCACAATACGGGAACACATATAATCCCAACTGGAGGGATCACCCGAATTTATCATGGGGTAGAAACTAGGCCTCTCAAAATCAGTACACGCCTCAAGGGAACTACAATCTGCCCCAAAGGCCACCACAACAGGTAGAAGAAAGCACCAATGATATATTATAAAGCTTTTAATTGACAACCAGCAACTTTGAACATACAACTAGCAGTTGAGGACTGATTGGGCACTTAGCTGCACAAAAAATTACCCGACCTACTGGAGCACTCCCTAATAATTCTGAAAAGAATCCCATAGAACACGTACAAGCAATTAACCTAAGAAGTGGGAGAGAATTGGAGGAGCCTCCTTCCCCAAAGCATGTATCTGAAAGAGAGTTGGTGCCTAAGCCAGTAAAAGAAGCCGAAAAGAAGGATGGTGAACACATGCAAGAGATAGAGGAAAGGCCACCACCTCCTTTTCCTCAAAGGTTGCAAAAGTAGAAAGATGAGTCCAAGTACAAAACATTCTTAGATATCTTGAGTCGGGTACGTGTAAATCTACCCTTGATGGAGGTGCTGCAAGAAGTTCCTAAATATGCCAAGTACTTAAGAGACATTGTGGCCAACAAAAGAAGGTTGAGAGAGTTTGAAATGGTTGCACTTACTGAGGAGTACAGTTCTAGAGTACAGAGTAAGCTCCCACCTAAGTTGAAGGATCCAGGTTGTTTTACAATTCCCTTGGCGATTGGAAAGGACGAGGATGGTAGAGCCTTGTGCGATCTGGGAGCGAGCATTAATTTGCTGCCACTATCACTGTTGAAGAAGCTGAATCTTGGAGCCCCTAGGCCTACTACTATAACTCTACCGCTAGCAGGTCGATCATTACCAGTGCTTGAAGGAATTATTGAAGATGTGCTAGTGCGAGTAGGGAAGTTCATCTTTAACGCATATTTTATTATTCTTGACTACATGGCTGATGAGGAGGTTCCAATTATTTTGGGGTGGCCATTCTTGGCCACTGGAGGGGCACTTATTGATGTGAGGAGGGCAAGCTAAAGATGAGAGTGCATGATGAAGATCTAAATCACATTTAATGTGTACAAGGCGCTTAAACTTCCTAAGCATTATGAGGATTTGTGCATGATCTATGTGGTAGAATCAAAGTTGATAGAGAAATGTCGTTATGTGGAGCCTAGTAGCATGGAAAAGAAAATCGAGTTAGAAGAAGTGGTGTTGCGAGCGAAATGTGTAAAGGTAAAAGAGAAAAGGGTCTGAGAGGAAAGAGGAGATCCTCCTAGAGTGCGCAAAAAGGCAAAATTCGATGGAAAGAGTTGGAAGCGAAAGCACCCAGCCTGAGCAGAGTATAAGACTTGTGCCACGACTATAAATAAGACTTTTGTTGGGAGGCAACCTAGCATGTATTTTATTTTTTAGTGTTATGTTTTGTTTCTTTTTGCTTTGTAGATTAGGGGAAGTTTGAGTACCCGAAGTAGAAGCTGAGGAGCATGTTTGAGCTTAAGTGTGTGGTCATCCCAACCCTTAACATTGAGCATCATGTGCTAGCTAGGCCCTAGAGGGTCTCAGGGAGTATTTTTCATCCCTTTTTAAATATTTTTTTATGTGATCATGCATCGAGGACCATGCATTTCATAAGTGTGGGTTGAGAAAATTACTTTTTGAGTGTAATTGAATGAAAAATATTTCTCATTTTTTTAAAAATATAACCCATAGATAGAAGTAGTCTAGTATAGTAGTAGACTAAAGAAAAATCAGAAAAAGCTAGGAATTTTCCCGACGATGGATCTTTTGGACAGTTTTCTTGAGGGATTAAGGTCCCATTAAAAATACCAAAAAGATTTTCTTTGGTTTTTTTTAGGATAGTTAGGTAGTATCCCTTGGTTTTTCTTTAGACACCGGTTCTCCAAGGGTGTAGCTTGAACCGAGTATTTTGTTTTTTATTTTTTTAAGAGTAGGATAGGAAGAAATCTGAGTTGCTCTAAGTTACCTGTTGACATGTTTGGTGTTGGCACATTAGGCTATGGCATGCGCTCTGTCTTCCTATTATATTTGATTTGAAATGTGATGCCTGAGTGAAATAAATAGTCTATTCTGTGACGCCTTTTTCTTAGTTGTTCGACTTGTATGTCACCTAGTGCATTATTGCTTAAATATTTTTCAACTATACATGCTTGCTTGACTTGAGAGAGTTGAACAGAACCATATTGATTGAGTCATGTGCAATGTGTGTGTAAGGATTCGTGATATTCTATGCTATCCTATCGAGTCTAGCACTTGCCCCGTGTGTTAATCAAAGTGAAACCATTAAGTTGTGCTAGTATAGGAGATGACGTTGGAGTTTCTTGCTTGATCATAGATGTGCTTGTCACTTATAAATAAAATTTTCCCGTTGCTAGCCCCTCGAGTCTATAGACCTTTTCTTTGGCACCCACACTACAAGTCGTAGTCCTATATTGTTCTTAATTTGAGCTTGTTGAACCTTTACCTCCGAAGGCACTTAGGGACTAAGAGAAGTAAGGTGTGAGATTTGGGAAGTGGCTTTCAAGTGGAACGATGGAAGGGCCTATAAGGTGCACTAATGTTGTGAAAAATACAACTTGCCGATGATCCTTAATCTATGGGGTGTGTGTAGAAAAAAAAGAAAATTGCAAGACAAAATAGACAAATAATGTGGATAATCAAAAAGAAGAAAATCACACACCTCCTAATCTTACTAATTCGTTCTCGTGGGGGTGTACAATTGCTTAATTGAAGAAAGAGCTATGTTTTGTATGGTTTGTGGCAAGTGAATTGGTTAAGAAGAAAAAGCGCTTGATTCTTGAGTGTAGTGTACTAAAGTTCTTAGGAGGGTTAGTCACTATTCCTAAATGTATCCTACCCTCCCCCTAGCCTATATTACAACCTTAAAGTCCTAATTGATCCAAGATTTGGCTAGCTTAGATTAGTAAAGATGTACAATACAGGTAAGTTTATGGTACGACCACGGGATGCACACAAATTACTTTGTGAGAGTGAGAGAATGTTGTTCAATTGTGTGATGTCCTTAATTTATGTTCAAAATTGTACTTGAATGTGTGGACTATTCCTCTCTTCACTCTCTTGTTGGTGAGGGAACATGATCTCATGACGGATTAGTAATGTTGTGAACTTATCTTGTTGGGTGAGTGCGCGAGTTGAGGGTGCTTAGTGGTAACGAGTCGGCTCTTGAGGTAAGGTGGTTGTGGATAGGTTATTTGAATTGGTTGAATTGCATTGTATATACTTGGGCATGTTTAAAAGGGGAAGAATGTGAACTTCCTATGTTCATGCTTGATTGTCGGTATCGATTACAGTCAAAGGTAGAGTGTATGATTGAAAAATTGAATTGCTCCTCCCTTGTTGATATGTACGTTGTTAGGGTATAGTTATAGTTCCATTACTCGAGGACGAGCAAGAGTTTAAGTGTGGAGTGTTGATATTCGACTTAAAGTATGTATATTTATATGCATATTACCTCGCATTTTACTCATGTTTCGTAAATTTTGGATGTATAATTTAATGATTCATACTAATTTGTGGTATTTTTATTAGTAGGAATCATCCGGATTCAATTTGGGATGAAGGTGTGTGAATTGAAGTGAAAAGGGGAACAAACGAGAAAAAGTCACAAAGTAGCGCCATAGGTAGCGTGGGGCGCTACCTGTGGCGCAGTTTCCAGACCCTCAAAATTTCCAGCGTCAGGGCTAGTGCCCCACGTTACCTTGGGCACTAGTGAAGGGAACTTGTCCTATTTCGCCTGGGACTTGGTTATTTCTACCTAAAGACACCCTAACCCATATAAAAGCAAACCTAAACCTATTTTGGAGGGGGAGACGTCACTTGGAGAGAGAAACAGAAGTACGAAACACTCGGAAGCACGGAATTCATCGATTCTCCCATTCTTCTTCTAGTATTCAAAGCTTTTATGTTTAAAAACAATATTTTTATTATTGTTATGAACATGAGTGGTTAAAACCTCATTATTCTGGGGTTATGGGTCATTCTTGGCTATTGTAATTTGACAGTTGATTGTTTTGCTTGACTTTATCATATTAATTTATTTATTCAATCTTGCACTTAATTATTATATTGCGTAGCTAACTATAGAATACAATCTACGAATTTATAGTTGAACTCGAAAGTAGGAACTATTGTCACGACCCACAATTCTAACCTGTCGTGATGGCGCCTATCGATGGTACTAGGCAAGCTGATTCTCAAAAATACTTCCAATGTTTCACAAAAGATAAGTCAAAAGCTTTTACATGATAGAGTTTTTGTAAAAATAGGAGTTAAACTTAAAATACAGTGCGAAAAAATAACCCCAACATCGGGTGTCACCAAGTCTTGAGCATCTAAACAACCAGTCTAAGAAACAGTGTCTACAAGAGTCTATGTCAAAATACCAATACAGAAAAGAAAAGATAACAAGGAAGTAGAGACAAGGACTGCTAACGCCGACAGCTACCTCGTGAATCTCCGATACTCAACCACGCACGAGATCAACGTCCTCCGTGACCAGAAACACCTGAATCTGCATACGAAGTGCAGGGTGTAGCGTGAGTGCAACCAACTCAGTAAATAACAATAATAATTAAGAACTAAAAGGTAGTGATGAGCTATGCAAATACAATTCATTTTAGTAATTTCAGCAATGAAAGTAGACATGTTTCAATTCCGGCAATTTAAGTCAAGTCAGTTACACATTACCAAGTTTAGCTAAAACCGGATACAATATTTTTCCAAAGGTTTCAGAACAATGATATAAATCATCTAAGTGCAGCAACATATGAAACAAGTGCAACCTCTCAGGGAAACAACCCCTCTAGCTCTCTCAATAGCTCAACACTCGGCTCTCAGCCCTCAATACTCATACTCAATAGGTACCTGCGCTCACTGAGGGTGTACAGACTCCGGAGGGGCTCCTAAAACCCCAAGTGCTATAATCTGCACGAACAACTCACGTGCTATAGTATGATATCCAGATCCGCACGGACAACTTACGTTCTACAGTATCATATCAGAATCCGCACGGACAACTCACGTGCTATAGTATAAATGTCATAATCCGCACGGACAACTTATGTGCTATGGTATCAATACCTCACAATAGGCCCTCAGCCTCACTGAGTCATCAACCTCTCTAGTCTCACGGCCCTCAGTAATAAAGGGGAATCAACCCAAAACAGAATGATATAATGTATCAACAGGGAATAACAGAGACTGAGGTATAATATACAAGTAATACTACGACTGAGTACAAGTAACTATAAGCAGCGAGAATCAACAGGTATCATGACCATTGTGGGTCTCTACAGCACCAACACATAGCCTAAGCATGATTTCTAACATGTTTTACTGTCAAATTTCTATAACACAGGAAGGCACATAGCTAACGACAAGCTTATTCAACTTTTCAGTTTCACAGAATGGACCAAGCCTCAATTCCCACGGTGCACGCCCACACGCCCGTCACCTAGAATGTGCGTCACCTCCAAACAATCATTCAATATAAAATCCGGGGTTTCATACCCTCAGGACCAGAGTTAAAACTGTTACTTACCTCAATTCGCGCAAAACTCTACTCCAAAATGCCTTTGCCTCTCAAATCGGTCTCCAAACGTCCCGAATCTAGCCACAAGCAGTACAATACAATCAATATAGGCTCAAGGAAATCAATTCCACAAGAAAAATACGAATTTATAGCCAAAATTCGAAATTGGCTCAAACTCAGCCCCGGGTCCACATCTGGAAATCCGACAAAATCATAAAACTCGAAATCCCATTCACTCACGAGTCTAACCATACCAAATTTATCAAAATCCGACACCAAATGGTCTTTCAAATCCCAAAAATTCACTCTCCAAATCCCTAGCCTCAAACCCCCAAATTGCACCTCAAAAACACACCAACTAGGTGGAAAATCAGTAGGGAAACATCATTATTGAAGAAAAAAGAACACAAGAAGCTTACCTCAATAATCTCTACAAAAACCCTCTCAAAAGCCTCCAAAATCCGAG